AATGGAACAATGTTCCGCATTGATAACTTGAACGCGGAAGTTTGACCGACAAGAGTGTATTGTGCACTCCTGTCGGTCGCAGTGTCTCATTCTGGGAGACATTGCCTCTGCATGTCTCCCAGAATGGAACAATGTTCCGCATTGATAACTTGAACGCGGAAGTTTGACCGACAAGAGTGTATTGTGCACTCCTGTCGGTCGCAGTGTCTCATTCTGGGAGACATTGCCTCTGCATGTCTCCCAGAATGGAACAATGTTCCGCATTGATAACTTGAACGCGGAAGTTTGACCGACAAGAGTGTATTGTGCACTCCTGTCGGTCGCAGTGTCTCATTCTGGGAGACATTGCCTCTGCATGTCTCCCAGAATGGAACAATGTTCCGCATTGATAACTTGAACGCGGAAGTTTGACCGACAAGAGTGTATTGTGCACTCCTGTCGGTCGCAGTGTCTCATTCTGGGAGACATTGCCTCTGCATGTCTCCCAGAATGGAACAATGTTCCGCATTGATAACTTGAACGCGGAAGTTTGACCGACAAGAGTGTATTGTGCACTCCTGTCGGTCGCAGTGTCTCATTCTGGGAGACATTGCCTCTGCATGTCTCCCAGAATGGAACAATGTTCCGCATTGATAACTTGAACGCGGAAGTTTGACCGACAAGAGTGTATTGTGCACTCCTGTCGGTCGCAGTGTCTCATTCTGGGAGACATTGCCTCTGCATGTCTCCCAGAATGGAACAATGTTCCGCATTGATAACTTGAACGCGGAAGTTTGACCGACAAGAGTGTATTGTGCACTCCTGTCGGTCGCAGTGTCTCATTCTGGGAGACATTGCCTCTGCATGTCTCCCAGAATGGAACAATGTTCCGCATTGATAACTTGAACGCGGAAGTTTGACCGACAAGAGTGTATTGTGCACTCCTGTCGGTCGCAGTGTCTCATTCTGGGAGACATTGCCTCTGCATGTCTCCCAGAATGGAACAATGTTCCGCATTGATAACTTGAACGCGGAAGTTTGACCGACAAGAGTGTATTGTGCACTCCTGTCGGTCGCAGTGTCTCATTCTGGGAGACATTGCCTCTGCATGTCTCCCAGAATGGAACAATGTTCCGCATTGATAACTTGAACGCGGAAGTTTGACCGACAAGAGTGTATTGTGCACTCCTGTCGGTCGCAGTGTCTCATTCTGGGAGACATTGCCTCTGCATGTCTCCCAGAATGGAACAATGTTCCGCATTGATAACTTGAACGCGGAAGTTTGACCGACAAGAGTGTATTGTGCACTCCTGTCGGTCGCAGTGTCTCATTCTGGGAGACATTGCCTCTGCATGTCTCCCAGAATGGAACAATGTTCCGCATTGATAACTTGAACGCGGAAGTTTGACCGACAAGAGTGCATTATCCAATCTTTTTTGTCATATACCTCAACCCACAAAGACAAAACCTTACATAAAATAGGTAAACTTTGGTTTTCACTTAATAATGTTTATTTTTAATTTTTTGTTCTTTATATAACTTTTTCTTCTACTAAACTATTTTACAGACTCTACTGAGCTATCCTCACATATATACCTGTGACAATAACACATATATACTCCCTTCATATTCTGATCTCATGACATATTACAGCACAAACTATAATTATACAACATACCTCATAAAGTCTGATTTTACCCCTATCTAAGCGTTCAAAACCTATTTTCCCGCGTAATCTGATTCTTCTGGCTCTGCTGATTCGATTTCTGCTGTCAGATCGTGAAAATATGCATCACACAATGAGATAAACACAAAATACACAACTTAATATTTTCCTTAAAATTTCTCTTCAAGTTCATACTGAAACAACATCTTTTTTTGAAAATACAATTTTTTCAAAAAATGTATGAATTCAAAAGTGCATACTATATCTAGTCATTACCCAACATTAATTTTGTATTTTAGTTTTTAAGATATTCATTTTATTATACGTCTTATTCAGAAAATTAAATATATTTGTGAGGGAAAACGGAGGAAATAATAAATATGTCAAGATCGAGGAATTGACAATTTTAAGGAAAATATTAAGTTGTGTATTTTGTGTTTATCTCATTGTGTGATGCATATTTTCACGATCTGACAGCAGAAATCGAATCAGCAGAGCCAGAAGAATCAGATTACGCGGGGAAAATAGGTTTTGAACGCTTAGATAGGGGTAAAATCAGACTTTATGAGGTATGTTGTATAATTATAGTTTGTGCTGTAATATGTCATGAGATCAGAATATGAAGGGAGTATATATGTGTTATTGTCACAGGTATATATGTGAGGATAGCTCAGTAGAGTCTGTAAAATAGTTTAGTAGAAGAAAAAGTTATATAAAGAACAAAAAATTAAAAATAAACATTATTAAGTGAAAACCAAAGTTTACCTATTTTATGTAAGGTTTTGTCTTTGTGGGTTGAGGTATATGACAAAAAAGATTGGATAATGCACTCTTGTCGGTCAAACTTCCGCGTTCAAGTTATCAATGCGGAACATTGTTCCATTCTGGGAGACATGCAGAGGCAATGTCTCCCAGAATGAGACACTGCGACCGACAGGAGTGCACAATACACTCTTGTCGGTCAAACTTCCGCGTTCAAGTTATCAATGCGGAACATTGTTCCATTCTGGGAGACATGCAGAGGCAATGTCTCCCAGAATGAGACACTGCGACCGACAGGAGTGCACAATACACTCTTGTCGGTCAAACTTCCGCGTTCAAGTTATCAATGCGGAACATTGTTCCATTCTGGGAGACATGCAGAGGCAATGTCTCCCAGAATGAGACACTGCGACCGACAGGAGTGCACAATACACTCTTGTCGGTCAAACTTCCGCGTTCAAGTTATCAATGCGGAACATTGTTCCATTCTGGGAGACATGCAGAGGCAATGTCTCCCAGAATGAGACACTGCGACCGACAGGAGTGCACAATACACTCTTGTCGGTCAAACTTCCGCGTTCAAGTTATCAATGCGGAACATTGTTCCATTCTGGGAGACATGCAGAGGCAATGTCTCCCAGAATGAGACACTGCGACCGACAGGAGTGCACAATACACTCTTGTCGGTCAAACTTCCGCGTTCAAGTTATCAATGCGGAACATTGTTCCATTCTGGGAGACATGCAGAGGCAATGTCTCCCAGAATGAGACACTGCGACCGACAGGAGTGCACAATACACTCTTGTCGGTCAAACTTCCGCGTTCAAGTTATCAATGCGGAACATTGTTCCATTCTGGGAGACATGCAGAGGCAATGTCTCCCAGAATGAGACACTGCGACCGACAGGAGTGCACAATACACTCTTGTCGGTCAAACTTCCGCGTTCAAGTTATCAATGCGGAACATTGTTCCATTCTGGGAGACATGCAGAGGCAATGTCTCCCGAAATGATACCGTCATACCAACACCAATTTATTCCTTCTTTCCATTGTCATACAATTCAATATTTTTATCAATCTTAATCAATTTTTTTATTCTTCTTTAATTCAATTTATCTTTCTCCTAGAATATCTATTCCTTTAACAGACATAAAATCACCAATCGAGCTTTTTCAATACTCAAAATTTCATATAAATCTTTGTTATTTTTTCTCTCATCGCTTATTTTATTAAATATACATATTTCCTCTCACATATCCCTCTTCATATATATTGGATCTCAACACTCATCTATTAGAACAATATATTTTCGCTTAATCTCATATTATTCATTAACAATCTTTCATCTTCTTATTTCTAGTTAACCTACCAATATATATATAGAATATATGCCGAATTACATATTCAGATATATTAAATTCAAGAAATTCTTCTAATATTATTCTCCTATTCATAATAAAATCATATTTAGTCTCACATCACAATTCTATCAGTTCTCCAATATCATATCATATTGGTAACATCATATATATCTCTTATAATATCACTTAAATTTGTATTTTTTTATTAATTATATTTAATTAGTTCTACATTCTATTATTATAGAGGTTTGACAAACTCATCAATAGATAAAATCAAAATCTATTCAGAACTTTGAATCTAATGAAAATTACATTTCGATATCTTTTTGCAAGCTTAATTTTTTGTATTATCTTAAAATACATTTAGTAATGTTATGTACGTGTTGAATACAAATTATAGCGCAGTAACATGCAACTCATCTTGAGATTCACATTTCATTTTCACAATTATTGCATATATACATCAATAACATATTGTACTCATATATCTACACGACTCTAAACTCAATGACATCAAATAATGCTTGTAATATTTAAAATAATTTTTGCATTTTTGATTCTCAGCTTAACTTCTATAAATGTCACCAAAACATTTCATTCCTACCAAGAAATAATATATTAGTAATTAAGCGTTTATTACCATTGTTACTCACATCATATTAATTCATTTTTGTAATTTTTTAAATAAATGACTGCAATCATAAACCCTATGTACCCATATCAACATGTTAAAATTTCAAAGTCTGAAACTTAGTATACATTGAGTTTCATGAAATCAGATAATCTCGTAGATTTCTTAAATATTATATATTGCTGGCCAATAATGATGCAGCATGATTCTCCATCATATCAGCATTCTAAACATATCTTTATTTTGTCAATTGGCATAAATTAAGGGTGCTTTTCAGGCGATAAATGGTATTTTAGATACCTGGGTAGGGGGTCATGAAAAAGTTGCAAAAGTCAAAAATTGAGGGTATTTCACCTTGAATGAAATATCGTTTTCATACAATAATCAGTAAATATTATATATTGATTATGAGATGATAATATCATACACACATGCTCTACTACCGATTATATGTTTATTGATTTTAATCGAATCCAAATTCATTTAAATTTCACAATTTTTGGACAAAATTATTTGAAGTAGGTTGATGCATGATAGAATTATATACTATAAAGAGATTTCAATTCAAGTTTACTATTCATTGATAAAAAGTGACATTTTCATGAATATTTTTTGGGTATTATCCCTCTTTCTTTCCACAGTAGGTGGCGTTCTTATGCTATTATATGCTCTTCCTCTTAAAAATTCATGGATCACAAAATTATCCAAACTTTTATACAGATTCAGAGCATTTCTATTTTGCAGCGCCGGAATCTATGTTTTTCTAATTATCCAAGAATTCAGCTCCATGAAACACGAAAGCATGCATAAGAAAGATATGGAAGGCAATGGCGCTGAATTTAGCCGTAGATCTGCCAATTTATTCAGAAACCAAAGAAACTTGTACATTGTTCTCATTGGCCTCTCCATACAGCTTGGATTGCTCATTTTTATTTGGCAATCACATTCAATGGCAAAAAGATACAAAAATCTTGTTCGCCAAATCAGAGAATCGCAAAACGAGCATCATGATTAAGATTACCAGCCAATGTTTCATGTAAATAATCTTTTGTTTTCATTTTACTTTTTTCATATTTTCCTTTTTTTTTCATAATTTTCATTTGCATTGCCTTATATTACTTTTGGTGATCGAAAAAAGGAAACTTATTTAATTTTATATTCAAATCTTTATTACAATCAAATCCTAAAATAAATTTCATCTTCTTCTTTAACATTGACCTTTGCTCCACTTTCGTTCATCTTCTTTAACACATCAGAGATCTTCTTACCCTTCTGAACACCAGCTCCTTCGCCTTCAATAATATTACCGTCTTCATCGACATAAATTGTAACATTTTGAACTGGTGGCTCGTCCTCGTCAGAATAGTAGTAATAGTATTCTTCTACGACTGGTTTAGGCTTTGCTGGTGATGGCTTCTCTTGTTTCTTCTTTGGAGACTTCTTTTCATCTTTCTTTTCTTCCTTCTTTGGCTCTTTCTTTTCTGGTTTCTTTGGTGTTTCTTTTTCTTTAGGCTTTTCCTCTTCTTTCTTTGGCTGTTTGTGGTTAGAAGAATGAGAATGTTTTCTAAATCCAGGCAAAATCTTTGTATCTGGGATAGGAACAGTATTAAGTAAACCTAAAGCACCAGTTGGCTTTGTAATGGTTAATCTTACCTTAACATCTTTGTATCTTGGTCCTGGATACAAAGTATCGTAAATTTGAATTATATCGTCGACATTCTTTCTAACAATCTTAACAAAGACCATACCTGGAAGGATTTCGTCTTTTGTGTATGATGTATTAAGCCTCTTACTTGTTCTCTTGATGTTCCAGTTTTCAAACTTAATGGAATCGAGAGATCTTGGCTCATTCTTACGGTTGAGGCAATCTAGGATGATTGTTTCACTACCTCCAAATGGAAATGAGGTTAAGACATGAATCTCAAAATTCTGTTCAACCTGGCAAATTAAAATTGATGGTGTATTTCTGGCAGAATCTGGGAAATCTTTAGTAACATATTTCTTGTCGCCGTGGACTTCTGTTACAGTTCCATTTTCCACAGAATAATAAGGGTAAGTAGGTGCAAGTCTTCTTGGAACAGTTGGTAGTTGCTGGAAAGCAAATGATTGAGAATACTTTTCTTCTGGTTTAGAAATATTTACTTTAATGGTTTCGGGATATCCTTCAACAAGAAGAGATGCAATAGTTTCGAAAGAATTACTAGCTGTTCCTGCTTGGAGTATTCTAAGAACTACAGCTCCATTTGGAATAGGGAAGCTTGAATCAATCAAATTTGTTATTGAATTAGCGTGACGTAACTTTCCGGAATTGTTAGTCATTTTTTCAAGAACTACTGAACCTGTTAATGTCTCTCTTGTTACAGTTATGGTTGCCATATCTGGAATGAATCCTGTAGCAGTAGAGGTCATATAATTACCGTCATTTTTAAGTGCCAATATATACAATTGACCATTCTTGAGCGGATTCAAGGTGGGGAGGTTCATAACGTTCAAACTTTCTTCAGATTTTTTAGTTTTACGGTTTAATTTGTATTGGAATGAACTTATCTTCTTACCATCTTTTGGAATAACCTGTGAATAGAGATATACAAAGGGATCATTTGAATGTGTATCATTATGTTTTTCATCCGACTGAGAGTTCTTGGAAGGATTAACCGTGCCTTTATCATGGTGAGTATTTTTATTTGAATGATGATGATGACTCATGCAATGGTTGGATTAAAGCAAAACTATTTATCAAATAAATTGAATTCAAACGTATGTGGTTAATAAATTTTCTCTGCCTTTGAAATTCTTTGTACATTTTTGGTTATAAATATACTAGTTCTTATATTGTATGAAATGTTGTAATCAATGTAAAGTATTGAATATTTTCAGAATATAGTAAATTGTTAATAAATCAGCCTTTTGATATAAATACTAACAATAATGATTGAAAACAAAACTTTTCTCAAAAGAAAATTGACAGTTAGTATCGCTCAAATTTATTATAATTTTTGGATCGAGATAATATTTGTTAGTTCAATTTTTTTGCTTTTTTTTGAATTCATTCAAAAAGCACGCTATTAAAAAACCGCCCAGTCAAATTTTGTCTTCATTCAAATCCAAAATTCTTATTATTTTCAAGTATAAATTTATAAGCATCAATAAATTATCTCGGAAATTTCTCAATCTCAGAAGATCCAGTTCTGTTTAAAAAAGCTTCGGCATTAAAATAATATGTTAATCTATCAATTCCATTTATAAATTATAAGTTTTAATCAAATTTTACTATAATCAGATTTCCGGAATTCGGGCGCGTAAAGGGTTGGCGTCCTAAGGCGTCCTGATGTAAACTATTCAATTTTTGAGAAGTTTACACCATAATTGAATAGTTTATGGCGTCCTGAGAGGAGATTTCAATGGGTATGGCGTCCTAAAAAAATAGAAGAAAATGATTTTTTCTCGATTTTTCTAGAAATTGAATTTTTTAAAAAAGAAAAAAATCAAAACGTATACATTCAAGAAAGACTATAAATGAAGATTTTTCTATTTTTTTTCATTCTAAAACATCTTTTTTTGGATAATTTTTTTTAAATAAATATGTAAGAAAGATTGAAGAAAAAGTAAATTTACTTTCAGAAAATTCGTTTTACATGATGTAAAAAAAAAAAAAAAAAAAAAAAAAGGTAGTGGGGCTTCCAGGGCTGCGCCCCTCTAGCCCCCTGAAGATGTTAGTATAAAATGAAGTTCTTATATACGGGTCTTCCAGGAGCTTTTCACAAATTATATATGTTTTCATGTTTTGTCAAGACTTCTTCGTAAAATCAGACAAAAATAATGTTTAGGGTAGAAGGTTAGATATAACCTCTTTTCTAACCTCTTTTCTACCCTCTTGAATTTTCAAGACTTCTTCGTACATGTTTTGTCACTTTTCTGTCACTTTTCAGGAAAAAACATTTTTATTATATATATAAAATGAATTTTACAAAACCACCGTTACCCTTCTTTGGAAATAAGAGTAGATGTAAAGATATTCTATTGAGAGAACTTAAGAAACTACCGAATGGTCTAACATTTGTAGACTTGTTCGGGAAGTTTCTATATATCTCATTTGTGCCATACAATATTTCCTGACTCAAAGATTATATGCAATGACTTCGACAACTATATGAACCGTCTCAAACATATACCAGACACAAACAAATATTGAAAGAGTTAAAAGAAAAGATACCTATAGGTAAGATGGAACGTATACCATTAGATAAGAAAAATACTGTCAGAGAGGTTTTGAAAAAGGCAGAGTATATTGACTGGGATAGTATATCTGCTAGACTATTATATAGTGGTGCTATAAGAGTTCATGACATTGAAACACTTATGTCAAAAGTTTTATATCTTAACTATACAAATGTTTTCAAAGAGAACATAGAAAAATATATTGAGGGTATAGAGTTTGTGAGATGTCATTGGACAGAGTTGTATGAAAAATATAAAGACAAGGAAAATGTTTTTTTATAGTGGCCCCGCCGTTCTATAACACATGGGATTTTCAATACCAAGTAGACTGGACTTTGAGAGACTCTTTAGAAACTTTAGACGTTTTACATAACCATCCATGCTTTTACTTTACATCCGATAAAAGTGGTTTGGAAAGTGTCATGAGATGGTTAGAGGACATACATGACTATGAGTTTAGATACGATAAGATAGAATATGAGAGAGGTCCTATAAACTGGAGAAAGTGTCATAACAAAGAAATTTTACTAGTAAGTAAATGTGGTTTGAAATAGGACTACTTGTTTTAGGTTTTTTCCATTGTGTCATTTACTTATTTGACGTGGCAGAAAGATATAGAGAATATGAAGATGAACCAATGCCTGCAAATGTTCAGTATATGTACTCGTAAGAGATATTTTTATCTAATATTAAATGGACGCACAGAACTTAGCGAATGCACAGCAACCTGGACAACCAAACCCAGAGAATATTCCAAATGAAGTTAGAATACAAACTGCAATGGCAAACTATGGTCAAGTGCCAACAGATGTACAAATGCAAACTGCCATGTCAAATGACGCTGCGTTAGGCTTACCACCATGGTATGCAAATATGAGATGGAAAGAGTTTTATACAAACCCTGAAGTGGGATATAAACAACTTTATGCAGATGACGCAAACACAGGAGTTGACCAGAATATGTTTTCTACCAGAGGAGAAACAGAATGTATGAGCTCCAGTTAAAGAATGCTATGGAACTCAACAGGAAACGTAAGAGACTAGGCGGACATTAGATTTTTACATATAGTAAAATGGGTTTCTTCAGTAGTATTGGAAACTTCTTTCGAAATGTTGGAAGAGGTATATGGAATGGAATAAAAACCGTAGGAAGAGGAATTTGGAACGGAGTCAAAAATATTGGTAAAAGAGTAGGTCAGTTCGTTGGTATTATACCTAAAGACCCTGAACCAGAAGAACAAGCTCCTGTTATACAACAGCCTGAACCTGCACCACAGTCTAGTTGGCAACCAAATCCAACACCTCAACCGTATTAAAAATTATATTTTTACCGTTCGATAGTAGTTGTATATGAAACTAAGTTCTAAGTAAAACGCATGGTATAATGGAATTATTCTCTTTCTTCCATCTGTAGTAAACCATACTTGAAAGTCTGAAATACTTCCACTCGGTGGTTCATATAGCTTTGTAGGTTTTTCGTAAAAGTCATTCATCAGACATAAGAAAGAGTTTTGCGCACCAGAAAATGAAGCATGAACTATAATAGCATCTGAGTCGAAAACATTTTCATATGTTCCATTAGGGTTTTCGACTTCATAAAAGTCCGGGTGTACTGGATATTCTGCAGGCTGATTTAACATCCTCAAAAATCTATACCATGCCAAGTTGTTATATTTTGTAGAAATATAAACGTCTTCTCCAAGGTCTTCTATTCTATTGATTTTAACAGTTGCATTTTTCCTGTCATATATAATATCGAGATGGTACTCTCCTTCGTCAATGTTGTACTGTTTTGCATATTCGAGATAGATATCGTTTATTTTTTCTTGAAAAGCTTGAAGAGTTGTTTCTAAGTTTACAAGCAAATTCACTTGTAAAAGTTTTCCCTGTTCAAATTTCTCATACGTACGTTTCTCTTTGTTATAGTATCGAATTTCAAAAGCGACCGTAAATGGGAAACCATGTATGGCTTCTGAAATGAATTTCATTCTACGAAAGCCAATAGCTTTTGTGACGGATGGGTCTCTTAGCCATCTTAACGGGTAGTCAAAACGATAGCCTTCATGCTTTACGGTCTCTGTCTCAAACTTTTGACCGACATTCGTAAAAAGTTCATCTAATGGTTTAGTTGTAGCAACTCTTGAATTTTCTTTTTCTATTGAAAGCATATTTTATCTAGAATAAAAATGTCGAAAGAAACAGCGTCTATGAGAGAAATACAACACAACCGACAACTCATTTTGCAAGCTCTAAATAAGAACACAACAAACTTTTCAAACTATTCTAAGATATCTGAGTCATTGAAAGAAGGAAACTTAAAACTGACGATAAACCCAATGACAGATGAGTTTCTGTTTCAAGACAGTAAGAACCATACTGTTTGTATAAATCCAACAAAAAGAACTTTAAACGAGAAACCTATAGATGAACTTCTTTTGAAAGCAGATATTGACAACAAAGCTGACAAAGAGTATGTAGATGCAACAAGAGACTATATTCTCGCATGGACAGATAGAACATACCCACAAAAACATCATACACATAACATCTATGACGTAGATGAACTACCAGCAATGTTAGATGACAAAGCGGATAAAACATATGTTGACAATAAAATGTCAAGTGAAGTGACAAGAGCTGACAAAGAATATTCTAAAAAGACTCATACACACGATTTTTCGCAACTGTTGGTATAGAAAATATTGCAGGAACGGTTGAAGAACCTGATGGAACTGGTGGGGATGTACTACTTTGGAAACCTCCTAACTTTCCACAAGGTTTAACATCGGATGAAGACATAACGACGATGAAATACACTAGATGTAGAAATGTCTATGTCATGGAGGATGAAAACAAAGTTAAATTCACTGCTCAAGATTTATATGACAACAAAGCTGACAAAACATATGTTAACGTTGAGTTAGATAAAAAGCTGACAAAACATATGTTAACGATGAGTTAGATAAGAAAGCTGACAAAACAGAGCTTCAAACGTTAAAGACAGAAATACTTCAAACACTATATCCTATAGGTTCTATTTACACGTCAATGAACTCTACCAGACCAGAAGTAGTACTTGGTTTTGGAACTTGGACTCAAATAGTCGACAGGTTTTTGTATTGTGCAAACTCTTCAAAGGAAACAGGTGGAAGTAAAACGATTTCAGGTGCAAATTTACCTGCGCACAGTCACTACATAAATTTAAGTACATCTGAAGCAGGTTTGCATAGTCATAGATTTTGGGATTGGTCAGGAATGACAAAAGGTAAAGGATATGATGTTAAAGAGGACGTTAAGTTTGCTATAAATTGTTACTGAGTAACACTGAGGTAGGAGGAAGCCATACACATCGCGTTTCAGGTATACGCAAACAACGGAAAAGTAAAGACTACATGCCACCTTACATGACAGTTTACGCATGGTATAGAAATGCTTAGTCGTCATTTTCAACTTCTTTAGCATATTCGTCAGGAGTTGTCTTATATTTGTTAGGAACTGTCTTTGAAAGTATACCACCTTGAACTTTGACAAGTTTGAAACGAGTCTGACAATAGTAGTTTTATCTTCTGCTTGCAGTCTGTACATTTTGCCATGTTTGCCTAAAACTTCATAATATTCTCTTGTATACTTTCTTCTATTTTTACGAACACGAATGTGAGTACCTGTCGAGTTCCCATTGTTGTCATAGTCAATATATTTTCATATGGGTCGCGTTTAGGTATTTCTATTTTTACTTTGTCACCTTTCTTAAGTTTGAAGCCTGGCATTCTTTCTTGTTTGTCTCTTTTGACTAAACTATTAAATATATAGTCTTTCTCTAAGTCAGGGTTGTTTTTCATTTCTTCGGGGGAGTGGTTTCCCAAACCTTTTTGTTTACGGCTATTGTAAATATTTAAAACTTGTCTCATCTTTGCCATGGAGAAGTGTCTATATTTGTCGTCATATGACATTTCATCTACCTCACCACCTTGTGGTTGGTTTAAGTCTCTTAAGATTTTATACAACTGTCAATGACACCAAGAGCAGAATGGTTTTGGTCGACAATGAAATATTGGTTTACATTTTTGAACGCAGATAGTTTTTTACATCATCTGATTTGAAAGAACTTTCACAGTCAGATGTCAGTTTTGTTGGATGGTATTTGTCAACGAATATTGTCAAAGCAGTTTTCACATCTAAAATATTTTTGGACCATAATGGTATGGCTTCACAGTATCTTGTGTTTTGACCAACAAATATTAGCCAGTATGGTGGTCCATCTTCTCTATACCTCGGAATGTTTTCCAAGATATCCATAAACCAAGCATTTGGTGTTGAACTAAAGATTTTTACCATGAGTGCTTTCTTTGTCGCTTTAGAAACATAGGGGTCCTTGTTTGGATTCGTCATTTTTTAACCCATAAGAAATGGGTTTATTGGCGCATTAGCAGGAGTTGCATCCAGATTTTTGCCCGCAGTGGGAACAATAGCCAGAGGTGCATTTGGAATTGGAAGGAAGATTTTGAGTACATTAGGTATACTGAAAGAGAAAGCACAACCTATTATACAAACTGTACAGAAAGGTTGGGAGGTAGCACGAGATGCAGCAAATCTTATTCCAAATCCTGAAACAAGAGGAAAAGTTCAAGGATGGATGGACAATGTAGGAAGACAAGCAGGAAACTACTATAACAAAGCAAATGACTACTATAACCAAGCAGGGCACTATAGGACCAAGGTGAAAGATTCTTTAACAGAGGATATAACCATGCACAACAATGGGAAACAACAACCAACCGCAACCACCTCAAACGTGGGAATGTAAATTTTTTACTGAGATGAATGAACAATACAGCATTGAGACAAATGGTTCAAGATGGATTTGTCGACTTCCAGCAGTTACACAACCACGTGTTTGTCAAGTCCTCCTATACCTCAGGAAGTTTTAGACCGACTTAAAAAACCTAAACAACCAGTTGAAAACAAACCAAACTAAAATTTTTTACTGAGATGAAATGAACCGAAGAAGTTGAAACGGTAGATTTGACACCACAAACAAAAAGTTCAGAACCATTGTCAAAACCTGTCAAAGAACTTACAGATGAAGAAAAAAATTCAATAATAGAAAGTGCCAGGTCTGGAAATACAAACCCTAACTACAAAGTCACTTTTCATAGAAATGGAACGGCTAGTATCTCAAAAAAGAAACAAACTCTCACAAATAAAATATTGAAGTCTGAAGGAGCTTTCGAGACAACAGATGGAAAAGTTTACTTCACTGACCAACAGTTCATTATAGAACATCTCATTGACTTAGAGTCGAAATATTCTAAACTTTACAACAAACACAAAAAGTTGAAAGGAAAACAAAAACAAATGGCATATGATATTTATGAAGATGTTGACGACACAACCATACCTGCAAGTGAGGTAAAGTCAGAGGAACCGAAAAGTGACGAAAAACCGATAGAAGAAGAAAAACCAAAAACTGAAGATAAACCAAAACCAAAGTTTAGTTTCCAAACTAAACCAAGTCAACCTTCATTAGCTGGTATGGGTTGGCGTCAAAGACTTATGGCAGCAGGCGGTTATGTTAAGTAAAGAAAAAAATATTTTTTTATTTTTATAAAAATGCCCCCATATAGAATGGATAGAAAATCTGCTAGAATAAAAGCAGAGTTGCAAAGATATGGTTGGAAAGTTTCAAAGAAGTTTAAATATAGGAAGGGAAGACCCATAAAAGTCTATGACAAACTGGCTGGTCTGACCTATGAAATGGACTTGGAAACAGCACGCGCAAATTATCCAAACAGGTTAGAGAGGTTAGAAGAAGAACGTCTTATGGACATGCCTTTCGATGTTTCTGAGCCTCAAGTTGAAGGACACGACGGCTTTGCCAGATTCTACTGGAAACATGACGAACAATTGCATCCTTTGAGAAGGAAAAAAGGGAAGGGTGAAGACAAACATGCTCCCATGGAAAGAACAAGATATGCATATGAGAAGTATCGTGAAGTTAGAAGTCAAATTACATCTGGTCGAACCTTTACAGTAAACTTTGACGAAGGAAAGAACAAAGAAGGCTTCATGGGTGTACTTGCTGCAATTCAAGACGGAAATAAGAAAGGATACAATCTCAGACTAACCGTAACAGATTTAGATGGTCACATTTACTATGCACATGGCAATGTCACAACAGCCGCACAACTTCTTGACGCTTTCAAGACTACAAAGAGAGAACAAATGGTTGACTCCGACTCAGACATTTTGAATGCAATTGAAGGAATTGCAAGTGTAAGTTCGAATGGTACCAACCTAACCCTCAAGCAGTCAGACAACATGCTGGATACTTCCCGTTCATAAATAAGTCTGACATTGACTTGACAAGGTATGGAATTTACAATTCAATTGAAACAATTGTCAATGAACCTTGTATTCTTACATGTCTCAGGAACTCTGGTCTTGTTTCAGAAGAGAAGATGAAGTATCTTGAGTCATGTGTGAAGACAAGGTACATTCTCAGAGGTCAATTGGCAAATTGCACCGTTGGCAAATGTCAATATCCGAGTCAACATACCGACTGAGAAAGGTTCTTCACATGACGACTATGTTGTTGACAAAGACTTACCATGGTTGAAGATTGTAATTGTCCACAACCACTTCATGTTGAACGAAAGTCTTACAAACCCATTGTTCGGAAAAGGCAAGTGCAACATTGTCAGAGCTGTTAACATTCTTTTCGAGAAAGGTTTGTTGGAACCAATTCCAGATGACAAGCTGACAGAAACTTTTGTACCAAAAGACGAAACAAACTTTTCATTGTTAGCAAGACCAAAAGTTGTTCCAGACAAAGTTATAGCACAAAAGAAGTACACTGTTCCAAAAGGAGTTGGATTGTTCGGATACCAACCTGAACCAGAAGAACTTCCAATGAGGTTGCAAGAACTTCAAGATGCTATAAACAAACTTCCATTGAGACATCCAATTGACGTCAAATTGTATTGGAGAGCATCGGAGTTAGGTCAGAAGGTTTTATATGAAACAGGTTGCTTCGACGATGTTTATGAGATAACAGGAGAAGTTTCTCAGAAGATAAGAGACTCACTTGAATTTCCACGAACTGGACCCATTGGTTGCGACAAGTTCGACTCAGATGAAAAGATATACTATGTCGACCTTAACGCTGCGTACATGAGGTTCGTCCAATATATCCCGACTGGAATTCCAAACGAAGATGGTGAGTTCCCAGGAAGGAACTATACAGTTGGAAAAGTCATACAACAACTGTATGATATTAGGAAAGCTTCAAACCCCAAACTTGCAATGACACTCAAATTGCTTATGAATTCGACATGGGGATATTCCATTAAGAAACCTCAAGAGATGAAGAGTAAACACTATGAGAAGGTCGACAACTTTGTTGAAAGGTTCTCCCCTTTTGTTTTGAAGTACGAATTCACTCAAGGTCAAAGTGGCTTAGTAACCACATTAAAACCTATTGTCGAACATTGGTCTTACCCTCAGTTCGCAAAGGCAGTCCTTGACAACTACAACAAATTCTTCTCCGAAGTCAAATCCAAAGTCAAGGTTTACTATGAGAACATCGACGCACTCATGACGAACGAAGAAGGCTATAACAAACTCATTGAAATGGGAATGGTCGGTGAAAAGATGGGTCAATTCAAATTGGACAAAATTTTCACCGAAGTTCATGTCCTCTCCAAGCGTAAGTACTGGGGCATACTTGAAGACGGCACAGAAATAAAACATTGCATGAAGTAAAAAATTTTTATTCGAATTTGAATCGGACAGGTCGAGTTACACCATTCTTGGTCTCAAACTCATATATAACCTGTTTGTCTGTATTTTCGTCGACTATGGCACGAGACACGAACATTGACCAAACGGACAAAAAGTGTCATTTCAGATGGTCACGCAGCCAATCGCATTCGAGCACTTCGAAGAAGCCTTACGTTCCAAGGGAGAGGGTGTCTGGTGCAAGGCAGAGGTCATGAGACTCTACGAGCAGTACATCCTCAATGCCTGGGAGGACAAATCGTCCTTGGATTGGCAATTCTACCAACTCCTCTGGGACGACCTCCTACGCAACTGGGATGACGAAAGAGTCCAATTCAGGGGTCAGGAACTACTTGTCCAAATTCTCATTAATTTAAGCTACTTACGCAACTAAACACCTAAATTTACTTGGGGTTTCCCCCTAAAATAAAATTTTTTTACTCTTAGAACCACTCGAGGTTCTCCTTACGGTTGTTGAGCTTGTCACCGTCAATGTGTCTGACCCTCGTCTTCTTGTCTGGATTTGGAACCCATTGCATACGACAAGCTTCCCATGGAAATTGTACCGTAATTCCGAAGGGTAAGGTTCAAGTGTCCCAAGTTGTTGAGGACTGGGGTAAGAACCTTGCCTGTCTCCTTGTTGCGGATTTGGTATGGGTAGGGTTGGGAAATTTCGTAAGTGTCATCGGCAACAAGGGTTGCCCAAACTTCCTCTTCTTCGTGTTTCTCTTCTTCCTCTTCTTCCTCTTCCTCTTCTTCGTGTTTCTCTTCTTCCTCGACAATTCCTTCTTCAATTCTGTGTTCACGAAGTACGGTGTTGCATGTTCTGTCCTTTCCGAGTACCTTCCAGATGGCGTCTATCTCTTCGAAGAAACGGTAGATGAGTCTGGCAAGGTCTCGGTTCTCTCTCGTAAATGCGCAAGGTTTCCGTCAAATCATTCAGGCATTTCTCATTGGAAGCTTGGTTCATGAGGACATCGGCTTTGAGCTTGGTCATCTCTTCCATAAGACTACTTTGGAGAGTCTTACGGTGTTTGTCAGATGAGCTTTCAATTCAATTTGAATTTGAACTGGGCGCTTTTCTGGCAACCTTGAAAGGACATCTGCCATTGAGTTTGGCTTCGGTGCTTGTTCGGACATCGAAAAAATGAAGTGGTTTGAGAATGACGGTTTTACTTCAAAAAGCTTGTTATGACAGTTATGTCATACAACAAGTTTAAAATAATATCTTGTTCTTCTTCTGAACGTTTGTTGTCTCTTCCGATAAAAGTTTCGAACATGAGAACCAAAAAACGTTTTTTGAGATTGCGGAAGAGTTCAGGCAAACGTTCATATTCTGGATATGTTGGGAGCAGTTCAAAACATCTGAGCTGACTTTCGGACAAAATTGGGACAATGTCAGAAAATTCATCTTTGGTCGGACTGCTTGAAGGTAAGTCCCTTACATGTAAGTAGCTCTGGTAAAGTCTTCTCATTTCTGCTAACTTTTGGAGTATAGCTTCGTAGTTTAGAAGTTTTAATTTTAATTGTCTTATTCCACTCTTTACTTCTAAACGGTAACTATCCATGAGGTCAAGAGTAGCTTTGGTAGCTTTAAGTGGAGCTATCTGTTCCTTGACTCCTGCAATTTTGGTTGCAATTGTGGTTTGAGCTCCTTCAAGTTCGCCGTCTATGTCGTTCTCAACGCCTTCAACCATGGCTTGAAACTCTTCATCGGTCCATTGAGATTGGTGTGGGACGAATTTAACTTGCTTCATTCAAAAAATGAAAAAAATGTTTTTACTCAAAGCGTGCCATGTATATGGCTATAAGAAACTTACCAGAAGGCTTCTTCTTCACATGAGTCTTTGGCAACTTGAGTGTTGGTGTTGGAGTTGGGTCTGGAATTTCAATTCTCTCTCGAGCGCAACAACAGATGTCAGAATAACATTCCCCACTGTCTTTCTTGCCACCATAAATTGTGTATTGACCGAACTTGCATTTGCAGGAAGACCGGTCAATACAAGGTTCACAGTTGAAATAGTTGTACACAAACCTGTTGAGTACGAGTGTGAGTAAAAACATAAAAAAAAGTGAAGTTAAAATGAGATGTTTACTGAACTGGCTGAAGAATTGGTTGGATGTCGCCTTCTGAGGTTATGAAGAACGGCTGTCCAGAGTAGTGAAGTAGTGCTCTGAGAATTTGTGTAATTCGTGGAATTGGGCTCTCACGATATGGAAGTAGTATCCAAGGACGTTTCATGAAGAACTTCAAGAGGGCTTCTTTCTTCACATCCTTAATATCATCGAATGCAGTGCCTTCTGGAACTTGAATTGCAACACCTGTTTCAATTTCCAACTTTAAGACACTATTCTTGGACAACCAGAAGCCAATGGACTTGCTTGGTTTGCACTTGCTGAGATATTCCTTCACGGTTTCATTTACCTCAATTAGATAAATTGCTTCGTCTAAGGGGTCAAGCTCCATACTGAGTCAGTACAATATTGTACTTTTTCAAGACAATGTTGTACTTTTTCAAGACAATGTTGTACTTTTTCAAGACAATATTGTACTTTTTCAGAACAATGTTGTACTTTTTCAGAACAATGTTGTATAAATTCAGTACAATGTCTCTCAAATTTGAGTACAGCTGTACTTTTTCAGAACAAGTCTTGAACTTTTTCAGAACAATGTTGTACTTTTTCAAGACAATGTTGTACTTTTTCAAGACAATGTTGTACTTTTTCAAGACAATGTTGTACTTTTTCAAGACAATGTTGTACTTTTTCAAGACAATGTTGTACTTTTTCAAGACAATATTATATTGTTTCAGAACAAAGACGGTTAAGACACAAACGAATGTCCGACGTCCCACCTACTGAACCCGTTCCACAGCCAGAGGAACAGCATGCTCCAGCACCACAACAGTCTCCTCAGCAACCTCAGTTCCAACAAGGACCTCCGAATTACTACCAATTTCCACCTCAAGGTTACTACCCACCACAAGGCTTTCCAAACTACCCACCACAAGGCTTTCCAAACTACCCACTCAACCCTCCTCAACCCATGCCTTACTTCCCTAACCCTTGGATGTTCATGTCAAACCCTCCACCCCAATTCCAATCTCAATCCCAATCGAAGAGAGACCAAGAGTTCGAAGAAGGTCTGAACCGTTTACGCAAAGAGTATGCCACAGCCCCTATGGAAGATGACAGGCTTTCAGTCTCTTCCCTAAGGTCGACCAATTCGACTCGTACCACAGATTCGGTTCGTGACCGTGAAGACTACCTCAAGCAGTCTGAGAGACTCTTCATCTTACAGCCATTTACAGTTGGAGCTCTCAAGAACATGCGCAATTACGAAGGTCAGACACCAGCTGGAGACCGCAAAACAGACGTACTCGCAAGAGCAGTCCAACTGGTCAAGACAAAGACTGAGATAGTCGACTTCATTCTTGCAGCTTGCCCATACAAGTAAAAAAATAAACAATTACGAGTTAAACTTTTTACTCTTTCTTTTCTGAGTTGTTTAGAGCTGGTTTCTCTTGTAGAAACCTTTCGTACTCTTCCATGGTCATGTAATTGCGAATTTGGTACGCAATTCCAGGTTCGTTGTTTTTGAACCTTACGTATGTAACGCTTCCATCCTCCTCAGGGAAGTAAGCTGCTAACATCTGACCAAGTTTTCTCGGTGACTCGGAGCTCATAAAAATGTCACTTTTTAAACGTTAAGTTTTTAGTCTTATTTTACCCTTTGTTTGTCAAGGTAGTATTGGAGTGCAATTTCTCCAAATTCTCTGTGTCGGAGTTCTTCAGCATTTTCCAAGGTGTACCTGGAGAACTCAAAGAAGTTGTCAAGAAGATACTGCCATGCTGCTCTTCTGAGTTCGTCGGTATTTTGGAAGTGTTGCACCTTCGAGTCTTCGGACATGAAAAAATGACACTTTTTCTATTAAACCGTTTTGGCATTTCTCATGAGTGAGTATAGTTCTCCCGAACCATTGGAAGAGAAGAAGTACCCTTGCTGGCAAAAGACAAAAATAGTTGCCTTAGTTGTCATTGCAATTGTACTCGTAATTGAATTCATTGTACTTCTCTTCACGTACATAAAACTCAAGGACGGCATATGCTTTAAGAAGCTACCATCTTACTAAGACTAAACACTTAGATTTTTCAAGCTTGACTTTTTACAATTTGAACTTTGTTGCTGAATTCAATAAAAATATATTTTAGGTGAAGAGGTGAGATTTCACCTCTTTTTTCACCTCTTTTTTCACCTCATGAATTTTCATGATTTCATCGTAAATGTTTTGTCAAACATGAACGTAAATGTTTTGTCGAAACTTCATCGTAATGAGCGTAAATCAGACAAAAATATATTTTAGGTGAAGAGGTGAGATTTCACCTCTTTTTTCACCTCTTTTTTCACCTCATGAATTTTCCCGAAATAAAAAATAAAGTTGGTTTTTTTAAAAAAATATTTTTTTATTTTTATTGTAAGAACATGTTAGCAACAACAGCACCAAACTCTTTAGTCATGAACCCAACTTCAATGTTAGTAGAGATGAAAAGCTTCATTCCTTCTTCATATACTTTCGAAACAACAATCCAGAAGATAAAGCAAGAACTTCTCCAAGGAGATTTAGACTGTAGTGCGAAAGATGAAACAAATGAACAGTATCTTTATGAAATGCAGGATATTATTGACCATCTACCTAAACTTCCTGAAATACAACAACAAAAGCTTACTATTCCTGAATTCGATGAAATAGAAGTCAAAGCAACTGACTCGGTAGAAATAAAGAAGTTCATACGAAAGGTAAACTATGAGTTTCTTGGATTTCATTGCAACCACAAAGTCATGGACAAAGACTGCGATATGGTATATAAAAATGTTTCTGACCTTTACAAATCCGAAGAATTTAAGACCTACGACAACTTTGTTTCGTTAGTTGCAAAATGTGTATGGCAGATAAGAGATAAAGATAGAAGAGGTAAAGTATGGAACGAACAAATAAAACCAGCAACTTTTGAGTTAAAGAAAACCATTGACGCCTTAGTTGTACTTGCAGGTCAAATTTCAATGTACAATGCTAAAATGAACCCACAATGTTCTAAATGTAAAGCAGCAATGAGGAAATATAACTACTCCGTCAAAGAGATAGAACGTATGCGAAACGACTATGCAGATTTAAAGAAAGAAGCAGAGAAACCAGCAGAAGATAAAATGGACATGTTGACATTTCTGAACAAAAACTATCCAACTGCTGACGATTTCCTTCTATCTGACGTCAAGAAGAAGTATAAAGAAACTTTCGGTATCGTTAAAACATTCGATGTACTGACAGAAGAAATAGAAGCTACGAAATTGTTTAGGATTTCAAATATACATCATACAATTCATGTAAAACGCTTATAAAATAACAGGTGAAAAAAGAGGTGAAAAAAGAGGTGAAATCTCACCTCTTCACCTAAAATATATTTTTGCTGAATTCAGCAACAAAATTCTGAGTAAAATAATTTTTAGGGCTTGTGTCAAACCGTTGAGTTTTCACAAAATTTAAAAAATAACGTTTACCATGTGAAACGCTTATAAAATAACTGAGGTGAAAAAACAGGTGAAAAAAGAGGTGAAATCTCACCTCTTCACCTAAAATATATTTTTGCTGAAAAATGACCAAATTTCATGAAATTTCTCTAGACCGACTTTTACAGGGGTAGCCAAAACTCATGAAAATCGTGAAAAATAACAGAGTATTTTGACAACTTCAAACAAGTAGAGTAGATGAACTCTTTATTTTTCAAGCTTGACTTTTTACAATTTGAACTTTGTTCGCGTAGATGTGAATTCTGAAAGAAGTATGAGGGTCTTGTATGACTTTGTACTTCTCCCAGAGTTCATGTCTGTCAAACTTACCTGCCATGGACTCTTTCATAAGTTCCATGAAATCGTCTTCGGACAATCCAGGGAAAAGTATGATATCAGTAAGTATTCTTTTAACATCCTTACTTAAACTCTTTGCTGTCTGTACACAAATGACAACAGAGATGTTAAAGTGTCTGAGCTTCTTAAGAATTCGACACATATCTTGTTCTCTGTTCTTTAACAAAGGATGAGAGGCGAAATCATCTAAGATAAGAAGACATCTGTGAGGGTAAGTCTTCCAATCGTAAGATTGCAATTTCTTCGAAATGTATTCTATCTCTTTCTGTTTGTTTCTGAAGTGTTTCTTCTCTAATATTCTCTGCATTTCCTCATTTGGGTCTTTAAACTTCGAATTGACATACTCATTTATAGCATTGTACTTCAAAACTCTTCTTTGGTACTTCTTTATCCAATCTAACAACTCAGTATCTTTTATACATACTAACTTAGACTTTTTTATAATATCTTTGAACGAATTGACGGTTTGATCGAATTGACCAGAAGTACTACAAATGACAACTAACTCATAGAATGGGTTCTTCTCATCTAGTTCTTGTTGTTGTGCAGCCATTTTAAGATAAGTGAAAGTCTTACCCGACCCAGGTGGTGCAATTAGACCTGTTATACCATTCTGAGCAAATAAGAACTTGTCATGTATGGGTTTTATCTGAGCATTTTCTAACTTTCTCTTGTTCTTCTTCAAAACATTCTCAAATTTCTTGTCAATGTCAGCAAACTTTTTTTCTAACATATTTTTAGAAAAATTAAAATTTTTATCTTTTAGAAAATGTCTAGCGATTTCGCTATCTATATTCGAGACAAGCTTTTTGACAGCAAAACATCTGTCGACCATAAAATCTTACATAGTGTAAACAAGAAAGGTGAATTTGTTCTAAAGTTCTGTTTCTGGGAATATGACAAGAACCATAAAACATTACAAAGAGCAGTCTTAAAATTTGTCAATGACAGACTTGTTGACAGAGATGACGCCGATTGGAAAGATGAAGTCCAACAAAAGTTCTTAGAATGCAAAGAAGGCACATGCGCTGTTCTTGAAGATGAAATAGAAAACAGAATAGAAGAGCTATTAAAGGACAAAGAACTTTTACATAAATATGGTTCGGAGAAATTTGACATAACTCCACCAGAAAAGAAGAAGAAGAGAGAAAAGAAAGAAAAGAAAGTAGAAGAAGAGAAGAAAGAACCTGAACCAGTTCCAGAGAAGGTGAGATATGACATGTAAAAATAAAATTTTATTTTTAGAACATTTCTGGGTCAATGTCAATGTTCTCTTCCTCTTTAGGGGCAAACACTGGCTTAGACTCTAAAATCTTTTTACCCAATTTACCTTGAACTTCAACTATCTTAGACTCATAATATTCATAGTCGTCTGCTTTCTTTGGTTCATAAGGTATAACAAGTTTGTATGCTTTGCCTTCTTTAAGGTTTGAGAACCTTCTGTCAAAATTTTCTTTGACTGCTAACAAACCTTCTATGTCTAAGTCTTCAAATTTCGCACCATTTTTAGTCACAATAGCAAACTTAACTGGTTCGATGTTCCAAACTTTGTCAAATGTAGACTTTTCAAAATGGTAGAAGTAAACATTCAAATAAGCGAATGGGTCTAGTTCTTCTTTAAGTCCTGACATGTACTTGTTGACTGAGATGAATTTCGTCATCTTTTCTATCGGATAAAAAAATATTTTTTTTAAATTTACTCAGAAAAATTTTTCTTTGTATATACGCCGTTCTGTATGTCTAAAAGATTTTTGACATTTGCCAAGAATGTTCGTTTAGATGCTGTCATATAACCATACTCTTGACAATATTGTTTATACGAGTCGTACAAAGACCTTTCATCTAAACACTCAAAGTTAGTCTCATCTATAAACAGTTCATATACACTCTTGTTTGCTTCTAACAATGTTTGTCTTTCTTCGGTATGTGGAATTTGTCTTGGATTGAACTTAGAAATATCTAATGTCATAAAATATGAGAACAAGTGGTTGTAAAAGTTAGGTGTCAAAGTTTCTGCTAAGTCGTCAAAATATTCTGTATCTTGCATATGAGAATCTGACGTTCTGACAACTACATATCTTCTGTCAGAACTTTCTAACTTCATCGGAACAGCGTTGTTTGAAACCATGACGAAGTTTGCAACATTTTCACAAACTCTTTGGTCTTTATATTTTCTTTCAACAACTCCAACTTTGTCTGTTATAAGACTCTTCAAAGCATCTGAGTTCAAAACTTTTGTTGTATCTATACTTTGAAGTTCGTTACATACTATAAGTTTCATATTCTCTATTGAAGAGTTAAATTTACCGCAGATGTTTTCTAAGTTTGTCATATTAGGGTTCGAATAGCCCTCTAACAGTTTGCACAAAATATCTGTAAAGAAAGTGTTCTTACCAGTTCCTTGTTTTCCAATTATGATGAGAGCAGTTTCATTTTTAGCACTTGGATGTTGTAAGATGTTTGCAAACCAACATAAGATATACTCATAGACTCTTTCGTTTCCATTGCATATAATTTCTTTGACATGGTCTAACCAAGCTTCTATAACATTTTCTTTCCATTCTACTTGTTCGTATTTATATCCAGTGAAGATAGAATAGAAGTTTGGAGATGGTGTATAGAACTTTATACCTCGAACTGAAAAATCTTCTAACTTTGACAATAAGATATCCCAAGCATCTAACATCTTCATGCCAACTTGTACGACTTTTATTTTCTTAAGTTTCTGTCTACATTCTTGTTCTGAAACTATTGTTGCTCTTGGTTTGTTAAAGACAACATCCCATTCTTTCATGACATAACATTCTGGGGCAGAGTCAACATAAATGACTAAACGTTTCAAATTCTCGACTGCTTTGTTATAGTCTCTAAATGGACACATATTTCTGAAGGCTTGGAAGTCATAAAAATCTGAAACGTCTATTCTGTACATTTTTATAAAAATAAAAAAAAATATTTTTTTATTCTTGACTTTGTTGTTGCATTTGTTCCATTTGTTGCATTTGTTGTTCTTGAGCTATTTGTTGTTGAAGTTGTTCTTGTAGTACAATACTTTCACCAGTTGCATCTTCCAATTCGAAACTTTCTGCCGTCATTGACAAATACATAGGACATAAAAGTTTTACAGGAACAAAGTTTGCGTCGACTAAGGTTAAGTTTATGTTTGCTAAAGTGTTTGAGTTTACTAAAGCTGAAAACTCTGCATTCGAATGAACAATAGGCAAACCAGCAGAGAAAGTGTTGTTTATACGCATGAGTATCTTTTGGTCATAGTAGTTTCTGTCGACATTCGAATAGCACTTTGAACCTAAGTTTGAAACAATATATAAAATAGGTGTACTTAAAGTCAATGGAACAGACATTCCTTGTATGACACCTTTTCCTGTTATAGGAAACTGTTGGTAGTAAAAACCAGATATAAGTTTTGTATTATAGCTCATATCGTTTATAGTAAACTCAGTCGGACATCCAAACATAATGAAACCTGCTCTAGTTGCAGCACATGTTACATCCGTCCTTAAAGTATTAAATAAGTCAACAAAACCTGTTGGTGGTATATCTGAGTAAGTATCTTCAAAGAAGTATTTTTTACCATTCACAACAACAAAGTCTTCTGGTGTCAAAAGAGCAAAACAGGCTTTAGTCGTCATTGTGTTTAAAGTTAGTTTACAATATCGTCCTTGAGGACTTTGTAAGTTTGTTGTTATAGAATTATATGACTCAGGGTTTTTAGTCGTAATAGTATAAACCACTATGTCTTCTGCCATTTACTTAGCAAGTAAATTTTAATGAAATGTTGTGGTCGTCAAATATTTTTATGACGTCTGGGAAACTATATTTTAAGTTCAACGTTTCACCTCCTTTCATAACGTATATCTTGTCAATGACATTATATGAAACACCACAGCAAGCAATGTCGGGTTCTATTTCTTTGATGTTTATATCGTCTGCCTCTGTCAAAAGTTTCAATAGTTCTTTCAAAATTTCATGAGGTGCGATGACATATGAGTTCACTTTTACAGGGTTGTGTTCGACCAAGTTTAACATTATACCCAAAGCTTGACAAATCTTCTCCTGAGTTTTAAGTTTGTCTTTAAGTTGTTGGTAGTCGTTTCGAATATCTGCAACAGAACTTAAGTCTCTGCTAACTTCAGGATATGTTGGTTGTTCTTTTACAGGAACTATTGTTATACCATCTTCGTCTTCGTATGGTTTCCCCACTTCAACATCTCTTTCTTTGACATTGACAACAACACTTTGACTGTTTGTTTGAGTTGGTGAATTTAACTTCACATCTGCCACCGCCATTAAACCTTTTGAAACACTTACGCTTCTATTTTTCGGAAATGACATTTTACTTAGAATAAAAAGATGGACGTATTTGAGTATCTCTTCGAATTGAAGCAAAACAAAGTTTACACACACAAACAATACAAGTTCATTGACAGAATAGTTCTTTATACAAACAATGGAAA